AATAATAATAATAATAATAATAATAATAATAATAATAATAATAATAATAATAATATAGGAAATACAAATGCTCTGACCGTCATTTCAGAAAATCCTTTCTTAGTGAGGACCTAGAAGCCAAGAGGAACATAGGTGCCAAATTTTAAGTTTATATGCTTTACAGTTCTGGAGATTTTGTGATGATGCGTGAGGGGTATTTTGCATAGATAGATAGATGGATGGATAGATAGATAGATAGATAGATAGATAAACAGATAGATGATAGAAAGATGATAGATAGATGATAGATAGATAGATAAATAGATAGATGATAGAAAGATGATAGATAGATAGATAGATAGATAGATAGATAGATGATAGAAAGATGATAGATAGATAGATAGATAGATAGATAGATAGATAGATAGATAGATAGAAAGATAGATAGATAGATAGATAGATAGATAGATAGATAGATAGATAGATTGATTGATTGCCTAGTCTATGGTTTTCCTCCCGTCTCCTGAATTCATTCCCACGTACCATTAAACCATCTAAGAATTGCACCCAAAGGACTAAAAGTTGTCATTTCAAAGATTCATTCTGGATTGCTTTACTTCATAGGAGGAGGAAAGTTATACACGTGTGCAATCCGCCCTCCTGGAATTTATGGACCGGAAGACCTGCAGCATTTGTCTCGGTTGGCCGTACGTATTTTGATGGGCATCCCAGGGAATCTCTGATGAAGAGGTGTGTGGGGTGGGGTCACAGAAGCACCTTTGCAGGGAAAGTTAACAAGGTCTTTTAAAAATGTGTTGCATATAATTATCCAAGGCTGAAGAATAAACCCAGAAATAAGATCTCCAGCCAAGATGAACCCATTAATACAAGCGTTACATTTTTGTTTCTCAAGCTCTGAGTTTTAAATCAAACAAGGGAGAAAAAGTGAAACAATCCACTCAGTGTTTTTCATCGCCTAAGAACAATTATATAAACATCTCCCTTCCAGGATTACTTTAAATCAGTTTTCCAAACTTGGCAACTGTAAGACCTGTGGACTTCAAATCCCAGAATTCCCCAGCCATTGCTGACTGGGGAATTCTGGGAGTTGAAGTCCACAGGTCTTAATGTCGCCCAGTTTGGGAAACAGTGCTCTAAATGTTGTGGTGTTCTGTTAGAAAGAAAAAGAAAAAAAAGAAAAAGAGAAAGAGAAAGAAAGAGGGAGGAAAGAAAGGAAGGAAGGAAAGAGGGAAGGAAAGGAAAGAAGAAAAGAAAGAAAGAAAGGGAGGAAAGTAAGGAAGGAAAGAAAGAGGGAGGAAAGGAAGAAAGAAGAAGGGAGCGAGGGAGGAAAGTAAGGAAGGGAGGAAAGAGGAAAAGAGGAAAGGAAAGAAGAAAGAAAGAAAGAGGGAGGAAAGAAAGGAAGGAAGGAAAGAGGGAAGGAAAGGAAAGAAGAAAAGAAAGAAAGGGAGGGAGGGAGGAAAGTAAGGAAGGAAAGAAAGAGGGAGGAAAGGAAGAAAGAATGAGGGAGGAAAGAATGAAAGGGAGGAAAGAAAGAGGAAAGGAAAGAAGAAAGGAAAGAAAGAAAGAAAGAAAGAAAGAAAGAAAGAAAGAAAGAAAGAAAGAAAGAAAGAAAGAAAGAAAGAAAGAAAGAAAGGAAGGAAGGAAGGAAGGAAAGAGGGAGGGGAGGGAGGGAGGAAAGAAAGAAAGAGGGAGGGAGGGAGGAAAGGGAGGGAGGGAGGAAAGAATGAGGGAGGGAAAGGAAAGAAGAAAGAAAGAGGAAGGAAGGAAGGAAGGAAGGAAAAAGGAAGGATGGAAGGAGGGAGGGAGGGAGGGAGAGAGAGAAAGAAAAGAAGGGAAGGAGAAAAAAATTCAGATAGCTCTTCTTTTCCTGCGTTGCTTCTTTTTGAAGCATCCATACCTTCTCATTTAGCTGTGCCTTTGTGATTTTCCTGTTTTGCCCACAGCTCAACTGGGAAAGGGGTTTTTTTAACGTCTGTTTGGGCAATCCGGGCATCCTGACGAACTGGGTGCACGTGAAAAATCTGGTCCAGGCCCACATCCTTGCTGCCAAGGCCCTCACTCCCGAAACGGACTATATCGCGGTGAGTTTTCCATTTCCCAGACTCCCAGAGCTACCCGGACTTCACACGTAAATTTTATGCCTCGCTGGCCTCTTTTTTTCCCCTTTTTTATCCGAGGTGAGATTTTAACATACAGGTTGTCCTCGACTTACAACCCCAATGGAACCCGACATTCCTGTTGCTAAGCAAGGCAGTCGTCGAGGGAGCGATTGGCCCCATTTCATGACCTTTTTTTTTTTTGCCGCAGTTTCAAAGCCAATCACTGCAGTCGTTAAGTGAATCTGGCTTCTCCCGTTGACTTGGCTTGGCAAAGTCATAATTGGGGATCATGAGACCCTGGAATAGTGCAACTGTCATAAGTACATGCCAGTTGCCAAGCATCTGAATGTTGATCAGGTGACCCTGGGGATGCTGCAACCTGTGAGAATCGCTCATTCGTTTTTCACTGCTGTTGTAACTTCAAATGGTCACTCAGTGAATGGCTGTAAGTGGAGGACTACTTATACAAGGTTGAAAGGGGGAGGGGAATCTCCAATTTACTACTTAAGAGGTGAAAACAGGTGCTTTGGAACAAAAGGTTAAATTTTTTTATTTATTGAATTTCTCTCTCTCATCATCTATTCATCATCAGAGGGGTCTATCCACCCCTCTGTCTCCTGTCTGTCTATTCAGCTATCCATTCATCCATATCTCTCTCTCACTCACTCACTCACTCACTCACTCACTCACTCTATCTATCTATCTATCTATCTGTCTATCTATCTATCTATCTATCTATCTATCTATCAATCATCTATCTATCTCTCATTATCATTTATTTATCATCTAGGTCATGTCTCTATCTATCATCCATCCATCCGTCCATCTATCTGTATCTCTATCTCTATCATCTATCGATCTAATCTATCTAATCTATCTAATTATAATTTATCTATCATCTATCATATCTCTATCATATATCATCCATCCATCTATCCATCTTTCTATGTCTGTCTATCTGTCTATCTACATCATTTATCTATCTATCTCTCATTATCATTTATCTATCATCTATCATGTCTATCTCTCTCTCTCTCCATTCGTCCATCTCTCTATCATCTATATCTATCTATCTATCTATCTATCTATCTATCTATCTATCTATCTATCTATCTATCTATCTATCTATCTGATTTCTATAGTTACCCATCTCAGCAAACAACTCTTGCACAGCTCACAATTCAAAACTTACATTACAATTAAAATTTAAAATTTTTTTAAAGCAATAAACAGTCAAAAGCATTAAAACAGTAAAAGAGATTTTAAAAATATTTCTATGTTTGTAACTGTGTGGAAGCATCGCTGGGATTTCAAAGTCACCTCCCTCCCTGATGTCCTTCCTAGGGTGGCCAGGCGTACTTTATCAACGACGGGGAAGAGGTCAACCTGTTTGAATGGCTCTCACCCTTGGTGAGTCCAAGATCTGTAAATTGACGTCTGTAAATGGTTTAATTGCTGCCCCAGATGATGGAGAAAGACAGGTGAGGGCCCTAAAAGTCAATCCTTGGACCTCCTTGACCAGCTGGTATTCCTTCATTGTGCATTTGTCTTCTTCTACATTTTGGCTCCGTTGACTCTGTTGGCAACTTTAAGGCTTGTGGACTTCATCTCCCAGAATTCCCCTGCCAGATCTTGCACCTTTAGACCAGGGGTGTCCGTTCTTGCTAGCTTTAAGACTTGTGGACTTCATCTCCCTTAATTCCCCAGCCAGCTAGGGAATTCTGGGAATTGAAGTCTACAAGTCTTAGTTACCAAGTTTGGAAACCCCTGGAGTAAAGAATTGTCCTTGTCAATCATCTTCCCCTTTATTTTCAGTTTGAAAGACTGGGCTACCAGAAACCATGGGTCCATATTCCTGTTCTTCTGGTTCATCTAACAGGTAAACAGTCTCCAATAATTGGCTTGATGCTGGTTTCTTACTGGGTTTGAAGTGCTATGCACCCCAAAAACCGCAGCCAGTTCTTCACCCTGATGAACCTCTTTCAGATTTTCAAGTTGGTCCTTTATTATTATTTTTCTTAGAAAATAGGGTCCCCCCACCCCCACAGTACGTAAGACCGAGATGTGAGAGAGGTTTCTAAGATGGAGGCTGGATACACGTTTGGCTTCCTGTTAAACCTGTAACTGCAGAAGCTGTATTTTCTCTTCCACAGCTGCCATCGTGGAAAAAGTACAAAATCTGTTGCTCCCCCTCGTGGAAATCACACCCCTAATCACCAGACATGAAGTAAGACATCCTTGAGCAATTGGGGAGGGGGGAAAAGGGCTCCTTGGTGGCGGGTAACTGCTTTCGTTCCGTTTGCCAACCTTTGACCTTGGTGTCCCTGGAAGGAAGGGTCCCAGATTATCCGATCTGCCCATTTTACAGATAGACCACCGAGGCTACGATCGATTTTTCCCCCCCCCCAGCGGTTTCCTATGCCTGCATGCAATGCGTTGTAACCGTAGGCTCTGTTCTGCCCAATGTTTGTTTGTTCGTTCAGCTTCTAAGCCACTCAATCCTTTTACCTCAATCTGGGCAGTGGACTATAATGCAACGGTTAATTTTGGGAAAGGCAGAGAGCCTGCCGACAAATCCTTCCCAACATCACCAAAGCAAATATCAGACAGATTATCAGCATCAAGACCTGAGGGGAGATACTTAGAGTTTAAGCCAGGTTTTAAGGTTTGGAGGAAGAGGGGTTTTAAAGCAGGGGTGGGATTCAAATTTTTTAACAACCGGTTCTGTGAGTGTGGCTAGGTGGACATGGCCATGTGACTGGGTGGGTGTGGCTGGTTTTTTTGCAGTAAACCCCCCCCCCCCCCCAATTTTGGGACCTTCTGGGCCTGAAGAAAGCCTCACGGGGGGCATTTTTGCTCTCAGGAAGAAAAAAAACGGAGCCAGGTGGGGCCCCGCAGCAC